TTACTGGATTAGTGAGTGATGGAAGGTAGGAACGTTGTCTGAAGTGGGTCACTCATTAGAATGAGAAGCTTGCAAAGCTTGGTGGTAATACAAAAAAGTGTGTATGAGAGACAAAAGTTTATAGGACCCCAGCTATCTGCTTGTATTGATCTTAAAATATACTTATTCATTTAACAAAAAGGATAGGGGATCTCATAGATAGCTTTGGAGAGTTGAAAATGTATTTAATTGTGTAATAATTTGTGGAGCAAAAGAATGTAAGCATTTTAATTATGCATTTTATAGGCTATCTTCTTTAGGCCCTGTTTGACCTAGTTCATGCTGGCATTTTATATTCTTAAATAAGATTGGATTAAGGAACAATTAGAGCATAACATGTCTGAAGTTACCCCTGACTAATATGGTAATCATTCAGTGGGCTCAGTGTTTAATGTCTACTTATAGTACAAAATAAAGTAAATAGGTATGGGGCTGGAGAGAGTGCTCAGTGGTTACGAACACAGGCTGCTCTCCCAGAGAACCTGGATTTGATTTCCAGCATTCCCATATGCAGCCTGACAACTGTCTCTAACTCCAGTTTCAAGAGCTCTGACGCCCTCTTCTGGCCTTTTTAGGCACCAGGCAGGCACATGGCACACACACATGCATTCACCCAAAACATTCCTACATATAAAACAAATAAATCTTTAAAAAAGAAGAAAATAGATGTAAAAATTCAAGATACAAAGCCAGCGTATCGTTTACTTATTACTCTGGGGTAGAAGTTTAGTTGAAAAAGGCATAGTAGCAGTAAAGGATAATAGTTTGTAGTGTATACAATGTTGCTTGAACTATATCTTTAACAATGAGATTGGGAAAGATTGTGTTTTGTTACTAGTTTTTAAGACTATTTATATTTTGTGTGTATGCATATTTTGCTTGCATGTATATCTGTACCACTTGTGTGCAGTGTCTGTGGTAACCAGAAGAGGGCATGTGACCCCCAGAACTGTAACTACAGGTAGCTGTTGGCTTACATGCCACTATTAGGAATGGAATTGCTGAGCCATCTCTTCAGCCCCCTGATTATTAGATCTTTTAAAAAAAAATTTAAGGAGTGTTGGCAGCGGTGGCGCACGACTTTGATCCCAGCACTAAGGAGGCAGAGGCAGGCGGATCTCTGAGTTTGATGCCAGCCTGGTCTACAGAGTGAGTTCCAGGACAGCCAGGACTACACAGAAACTCTGTGTCTTTTTTTTTTTTTTTAAGATTTATTTATTTATTATGTATACAGTATTCTGCCTGCATGTATGCCTGCAGGCCAGAGGAGGGCACCAGATATCATAGCCGGGCGTTGGTGGCGCATGCCTTTAATCCCAGCACTCGGGAGGCAGAGGCAGGCAGATCTCTGTAAGTTCGAGACCAGCCTGGACTACCAAGTGAGTTCCAGGACAGCCTCCAAAGCCACAGAGAAACCCTGTCTCGAAAAACCAAAAAAAAAAAAAAAAAAAAAAAAACAAAAACAAAAAAAAAACAAAAAACAAAAACAAAAACAAAAAACAAAACCAAAAAACCAAATGGTTATGTTATGAGCTACCATGTGATTGCTGGGAATTGAACTCAGGACCTCTGGAAGAGCATCCAGTGCTCTTAACTGCTAAGGAATCTTTTCAACCTCCTCTATCTTTTTTTTTTTTATGTCGAGTGGTCCTTTTTAATTTTTTTTGAGAATTTCATGCTTGCGTGTAATGTGTGGTTTTTTTTTAACCTTTATTGACTCTTTGGAAATTTCATATTATGCACCCTATTTCTGTTCACCTCCTGGTCCTCCCATATCCAAATCAGAGTAAGCAAGCAAGTGAACAAAAGCAGAAAGCAAAGCCCAAACCAAACAAAAAATATAAACTGAACCAAAACAAAAACCACAACAACAGAAAAAAATCTTTTTTTGCTTCTCCTTTGTTGCTTCTCTAATTCCTTTTTATTCGTCCTGGTAATAATGAAGTCTTCAGTGTGCTATATAGAATAACTCTTTGTCCCATCAGTTTTACTGACACATGTTTATTGCAATGAGTCGCTGGTCCAGTTCAAGACCTCTGGTTTTTTGGTACACTATCACCACTGGATCCTTACTGGAACTCCTCTGGTATATCCCGTGGCTGCCACAAGTCTTGGAGATTTTGAGGGTTCCTCAGGACCAGTCCCTTCATCAGCTCCAGCAGGTCCTAGATAGGGTAGATGCTAGAATGTGTCAGCCCAAGTTCTGGCTGTGGGCCTGAATAGTAGCTAAGCTGGTCAGTCTGGTCCCCTAGGGCCACCCACTTTGGATGAAGGGGTGGAGTCAGCTTCCCTACATGCATGCCTTCAAAGTCAGTTTGTCCTGGCTTGTGGTGAGGGGTAGGGGCTACCTCTCTAGTGTGCAGAGGCCAGCTCTCTTGCTGTCGTGTCCAGTGAGAGGCAAGGTCAGCTTTCCCAGGGCCAGCAAAGGGCGTGACCAGCTCAGCATGGCCCACTTGATTTCATCTCACATGGTTCCTAGGGCCTCCTTAGGTCATACAGGCCATAGACATGGTCCTGGGCAGCAGCCTGGCTCTGACTGACACCCTGACCCCTGGTCTTAGCACAGACTACCCGTATCTTTATGGCCCGTTCTGTGGTATGGCCCTCAAATTCCAACCAAGTTGCAGACTCTGGCCCAGATCCCTAGACATGGTCCTTCGCAGCGGCCTAGGCCTAGTTGTCGTCTTATTCCCAGGTGGCAGGCAGCAAAGGCCTATCTGATCAGTATGGCCCTAGCAGCAGTATGCATCATGGACCCAAACACTGACTGAGGAGGCAGCCCAGACCACTGGAATCAGCATAGCACTCGATGGCAAAAGGAACCATGGACATTAACACAGCTCTACCCTGGCTGCTGTAGCACCAGGGACCCTGTTATGGCCCTTGGCAGCAGCCCAGCCCAGATATCGTCATCATCATGGACTCAGGTGGCAAGCAGACCTGCCCCTCTGCACTCGTCACCAGCCACCATGGATCCAGGCGACAAGCAGACCTCCAGTGTCTGCCCACTCTTCACCATATTCATTTCTTCCTTCATATTCATAGCACATGGACCATTCTGTTTCTCTATCTCTTCCATTCCCCACCACATATTTCCTTATTGAAATAAGGCCTATGTGCCCGGTGACATTTGCCTGCCAGCCTGGGCCCGGAGGACCCTGACTGGCTATTTTCCCAATGGTTGGGGCTTGGGGCCTTGGGCCCTGGCTAGCTAGCCCCCATCTGAGCAGTTAATGAAATGTGTTTTGATCAAATCTATTCTCCATTCCATCCCCTCTCCCTCTCCTCCAAATTTTCCTTATTGTGTGCATTTTTGTTTGTTTTTCTGTCCTGGAATTCATTGTGTAGACCAGGCTGGCCTCCAACTCACAGAGATCCTCCTGCCTCTGCCCCCCAGTTTTGGAATTAAAGGTGTGTGTGACCACTGCCTGGGCATTGTGTGCTTTCTTTTTAAAAAGACAAACAAAAACCTGATTAATCCATTTAATGCTGCCTGTATGTGTATGGGTGTAGGACTGTCTACTGGCTCAGATAGCCTTTAAGGGCAGGCCAGAGGCAGTGAACAGCTGCAACAAAGCAGCATTTGCTGCACATAACTGTACTGTTGCACACATGAACTCAGTGATCCCATCTGCATGTACAAGATCATGCAAACTAGAAACCTAGTATGCATGGTGGAGAGGCTCATGCAAAAAGCATCCTAAGTCTTTGTTTCATAATGGCAGAGTCAGTTTGTGTCTTTTCTGTTTCTTCCAAGTTGCCTTCTCTCTGTCTGGTATCCCTTCCTTGTGTTTGTCTCTGTCTTCTGATTAGAGGCCTTTCTCTCATGTCTTTAGTTCCTTGTGATGAATTCAGAACTTCTTTGGAAGCTTTAAGCGAGTGTGTGGGCCTTTGAGGTTTTGCATCAGGACAATTCTGTACAGGCCTTCTGTCGGGGAATCTGGTGTTGTTGTCTAGTCTTTCCTATTTGTCTAATGGTTTCTTTCCTACAGGATAAAGATGTGGATGCCAGATTCTGGGAGTTGAGTGTGTTATGTTGGGAAGCTGGAGTCAGTGACTCAGTCAGTCAGCATCTGTGGGGAAGGTGCTCTGTCTTTTTCCAGAGAGTGGCTCTTGGTCTATCTGTTAGGGGCCATGTGGCAGCATGGACAGTCCTCCCCCCCAAGGTCACTGCACTCAGTGTTGTTGCTTTAGACCCTCGTTCACCCTGCTGTGGAAATGGAATTGGTGCCTTGTTTTTCAGTTACTGGCATGCGGTCTGCTAAGTCATTGACTGTGCTTCCCATTTTCAAATGGTCTATCTTTTTTTTTTTTTTTTTACGAGACAGGGTTTCTCTGTATTGTTTTGGAGGCTGTCGGTCCAGCCCGGCCTCGAACTCATAGAGATCCACCTGCCTCTGCCTCCCGAGTGCTGGGATTAAAGGCGTGTGCCACCACTGCCCGGCTCAAATGGTCTATCTTTTTTCCCCACTGTATTGTCTGCCCCCCAGTTTTCCTATTAGTTTTGGTGCCTGTCTTGAAGCTTTTATAGTTTATCAAAATTTCTGCTCCTTTAAGTTCTCTTTGACCTGTATTTGATTTTTAAACTTCGTTTTATCTCTCTAGCCTAGTTTTAGTGGGAACAAGCAGAAGGTTTGTGTGTTGTTGCTTATCTTGAACTTGCCATTTTCTTAAGCAGATTATGCTTTTTGATTGCCTGATTGTTTTAAGTTACTCATGTGTATCCTCTCTACTGGGTTCAGGTTTGTCTTCAGATTCATTCACTGTCTAGCAGTTTACATGGTAGACATGAAGAGAACTATAAGAGGGTGAGCATGGTGGGACTTGATAAGAGGAGGGAAATGGGTGCATGGTTAAGCTTAGTATTTGAGCACTCACCCAGCATTCCTAGCTGTTACATAAATAAGTAAATAGTAATGAGATAGAGATGTTTATATATGCGTGCATCCTTTCTCTTCCAGGTCTCTGTACTACAATGAAAAGAGAAAACAGATACTAGGAATATTTTTTTAAGACAGCTATTTGATTTCTTCTCAAAGTCACTGCTGCCATCTGAGCTGTGAGTACATTTCTCTGACTGTATTTGCGCCTTGGTTCTTCTTTTTGGTTTTTCTTTCCCTGTCCAGAGTCTCTGACATACAGCAGCATACTAAACACAACTGATTAGTAGGGTCAGGGAAGACCCATAGTTGTGTGTTGATTCTTTTTTTATGTACCTAATATTAGCATGACAATATTGGCTGTTCATAGAACAGTGCTTGGAAATCACTCTGGACATTGTAAACACTCTGAATTATTGTTGCTGAATTCTTACAATCACCTTAGGAGCAAGATCTGTTTGTTCTCTGTTTCACATTTACATAAACTCAGAGAAGTCAACAGTTTCCAAGTTACAAGTGTTGGTACTGGTGACTGTGGCTTTAGAAGAATGTTCTTTCACGAGTGCTGGCTTCAGATTTTGTCCTACATTATTTTTAACAGTTCCTTACTTATTTGGGGAGTAGGTCCTAAACCCCAAGTGGGTGACTGAAATTTGAGATAGGACCAGACCACATGTGTTATATGGTTTTCCTATACATACAGGCTCCTGTGGTCATGACTATCTTTTTTAACATGGGTGCTGGGATCCAAACTCAGGTTCTTAGCAAGCGATCTTTACCTACTTAATAAGCCATTGCTCCAGCCCCCACTTGTAAGTTATTTTTTTCTATCTAAACCTAGTTTCTCATCAGAAAAAAGGGATTATTACAGAATATTTTCTTTTAGGAGATTGTTACAGAGACACTGTGAGATACCTGTAATATATGTTCAGTACTCAGTACCAATAGCAGCTATGTTAGTTAGGATTACTGTTGCTGTGATGGAACACCAAAAGCAACTTGGGGAGGAAAGGGTTATTTCACTTAACTCTTCCTTAACACAGTTCATCACTGAGGGAAGCCAAGGCAGGGTCTCAATTGGGCAGGACCTTTGGAGGCAGGAGCTGACCAGAGACCAGAAGGTACTGCTTACTTGCTTGCTCTTGTGGCTTGTTCAAACTGAACTCTGGACCTCTGGAAGAGCAGCTAGTGCTCTTAACCTTTGAGCCATCTATCCAGCCCCAGCCTGCTTTCTTTTCTTTTCTTTTTTTTTTTTTTTGAGACAGGGTTTCCCTGTGTAGCTTTGTAGAACAGGTTGGCCTTGGACTCACATAGATCCTCCTGCCTCTCCTGGTCTGTGGCAGCACTGTAATGTGTGTGGTGAGGAGAATCATCGAAACAATGGGGCACACTGAAGTGGCTCTACCTCCACGGTGCACTTGCTTCTGTGTGTGCAGCCTGCTTTATATCTCTGCTGAGTGTGTGCTGATGCCGCCATAGTGTGGTATGATATATAGTAGGCACTGGCTGATAGCCTTTCTGACAGTTGGTGATGACAATTTGATCCTTCTTTACATGGTTCATTGTCTCATTATATCAAGGTATTTTCCCCCCTGGAGATTGCTGCTGTATTTATTTTAGTTTTGGAAGGCTTAAAGCATGTTGTGTGTCTGAAGCTACTGACGGTTGCTTCAGCCAGGTGGCAGTCACACTGCAGTTGTCATTGCCTACAGTTCCAGTGTAGGATAACCACACATGCTACATTGATTCCAGTTGGATTCAGTGTGTTACTGTTGTACTGCACAGGGAGTTAGTCACCATTTAAACTTGGTTCTAGAATGTTGCAGTATGACTTACTTTCATTGAAAGGTTATTACAAATGCAGAGTAGTACTAAAATAGAGACAGGGCTTGGAGGGATGTGGTGGTATACTCACTCCTGTGATTCCAATAGTGAGAGATGGGGCTACATGAGACCCTGTCTCAGTGCCCCAACACACTAGAGAAGAGAAGAGAGGTGGAATATAAATGTAAAAAGTGTTTATATTAGAAAAGAATTTTAAAGACCTTAAATAAAATGTATTAAAACATGCTCTAATACAATGCTTGCCTAACATGGGCGAAACCCAGGGATTGACAGCCTCACTTGTGGCTCTCCTGCCTTCAGGGCCCTCTCTGAAGACTCCCTTCCAAGGCCTAAAAATACCCTTAATAGCCACCCTTTCAGTTTCATTTAATTTATTTTTCAGTTTAAGACAGTGCCTTTCTATGTAGCCCTGGCTGGCCCAGAACTCCCTAGGTAGACCAAACTGACAGTGATCCTCTGGTCTCTGTCTCCCAAGCCCCAGTATTATAGGCATATGCCATTATGCCTGACTCTGGAAGTTTTTATTTTGAAAACCTTTTTTTTTTTTTTTTTGAGAATGTAAAGGGAAGCTTTTTCCTTGAGAGAAGCCTTCCCACCAGCCTGGTTCTAGAGCCGCATCAGTCCCAAATAAACACATAGGAGGCTATATTAATTATGAAGCTGTTGGCCTTGCTTGTTTCTTACTGGCTAGCTCTGACTTAAGTAATTACCCCATAATTGTTAATCTAAGTATTTCTCTTACCGGAGAATAGTTCCGGGTTTCCTACCCCATGGCGTTACATCTCGACTCTCTGTGTTTCTCCTTCCCAGAGTCTTCCTGGATGTAACCATCTTTATAACTGGCTGTTCCTTTACTATGCAGAAGCCTTTTAGTTTGATGCAGTTTGTCAGCTCTTGTGATTTCCTGGGCTACTGGAGTGCTTTTCAGAAAGCACTTCCCTAGACGGTCTGTAGGTGTTTTCCCCTAGTCATTTTAAGACTTATATTAAGGTTTGTTTGAATTGATTTGTTTTCCCCTATGGGGTGAAGTATGAATCTAATTTCAGTCTTACATATGTGGTTATATAGTTTTCCTAGTGCCATTGCTGAAGAAGCTATATTTTCTCCAACTTTTATTTTTGGTTTGTTTGCCAAAATCAGATGATTTGCATGGATTAATTTCTAGGTTTGATATTTATCCATAATATCCTTGCTGGTTTTTGTGCTGTACTGTGCTGTTTTTGTTATTATGACTCTGTAATATTATTTGAAATCAATTATTGTAATACCATCAGCATTGCTCGTTTTGCTCAGAATTGCTTTGGCTATTTGGATTTTTTTTAAAATGGATATGTGAGAGAGGCAGGGGGGGGCGGTAGGGAGGGAGGGAGGGAGAGAGAAAAAGACGGACATAGAGAGACAGAGACAAACATGTGGAGATCAGAGGACAGTTTTGACAGAGGGTTCTCATCTACCTTGTTGAGATAAGGGTTCCCGTTTCTGCTGCTGTTTCTAACCTACTCCAGACTAGACTGGCCACAGCCATCCCTATATCTTCCTGTTCCTGCCTCCCATCCTTCTGGGGATTGCAGATGACATGGGCCACCACATTACTCCCTGAGCCATCTCCCAACCCTCTTGCCTATTTTCTGTGACAGTATCACTAGAATTTTGAAGGGTTTCTTGGACTCTGTAGATTCCTCTTGGTAATATAACAGTTTTTGCAATATTAATTTTCTGGTCATGGTTTCTTTTTCTGCTTCATGCTCTCAGTATTGATTCTGTCTATCAGAACTTTCTCCTTATCTCTCAAAGTAAATGTTATTTGTAGGCTTGGTATAAAATACAAGCAAAAATTACTCTTATAAAATGTTTTATTTAACATTTTATAGTGTTTTAAAATGGTTGGTGCTGGGGGTGTAACCTAGTTGGTAGAGTGCTTATTTGCCTACCATACACAAAGCCCCAGGCTGGATCCCAGCTGCATAAAACAGGTGTGTTGCATGCACACTCTAATCCTAAGGCATGGGATATAGAAACAGGAGGCCAGAAGTTCAAGGACATCTTCAGCTACTTGGTGAGCTCAAGACTAGCCTGAGTTACCTGAGGTCCTGCCTCATGCAAACAATAAAAACAAAGTCAAAATTATTATGGAAATTGAAAAAAAAGCACAGTGACTTATGCCTGTTATCTCAGTACAAGGGAGTCTGATGCTGCAGGACTTTCAATTCCAGTCCAGCATGCCCAATGTAAGTGACATGCTGTCTCAGAACTAACAACTCCTGAAGCATGAATTTCACCAGATTTGAAAAAACTTGTTGGGATTACTGTGTGTGAGTAATTTTCAATCATTTGCTCAGGACTTTACATCTATAGTATGTTTTTTTCTTCTTAAAGCAGGAACAAAAACTATTTATTAAATAGAGTCTGGAAATGCTCCAGTACCCTTGAGGTAGGAAGATCAGAGTTCTTTCTGCCTTTTTAGATAATGAAAGGAATTAGGTATTGTAGCATTCATTTTTGTAAATGTTGAGATTATGCATTTTAGAGATAATTACTGGCCTAATGAATAGAAACATTAAAAAAGTATTTTTGGTGAGAGTTGCATTTTCATGTTTATTTTATATTTAAATCTTGCTTAATTTAACAGTTATAATTTATTTTCTGGTGGTTCTGGTGAATCCTAGCTGCCTGGCTAGCTTGTGCTGTGGGGGAGGGGTTCTGATATTGAGTTTGGAGCATGAACTTCTTGAAAGTGTAGAAGCAGCCTGTGTCTGTTCTCTTCCTTCTTATCCCTTTGGTCTTCATTATTATTCACTGGTCCTCTGTAGGCGAAATGGAGCCTGGGAACAGGGTCTATTTCCTGCTTCTTCTCTGCAGTACTTGTAGTTTCTGGGGGCAGGCTTGAATTCTGCCTGCTTTCTGAGAGCTTGGTGCCTTTGAGTATCCCTATTAGACTGCTGACTATTACTTCAGTAATAGGTAAGTTGCCCAGTTTCTCTCTTTAGCTGTTAGTGTGCTACAGGGCTTGTAATAGCATCTGTGTAGCTGGAAATATTAATTGAGAAAACTGCCATAAGCTTTGCTGCCAGCTATGGAAGAACACACACTGGGGCTGTGGTGCCTGCGTGTGGGTATACATTGACTAGATATTGGTGTGGTGGTAATGGGGTGATAGTATCTGTCTCCATGGATTGTTGGTGAAAACCAAGTGAACAGACGTTTTAAAAGTGCTCTGAGCAAGGTCTAGCACAAAGTAGGTGGTAACTTGGTACTCAGATTAGTATTGTGTTACTGGCTGGCATACAGTCAATGCTGGTTGCTGGGAATTGAACTTAGGTCCTTTGGAAGAGCAGCCAGTGGTCTTAACTGGTGAGCCATCTCTCCAGCCCATGATAACCAATGCCTTATTTATTTTTTAAATTGATACATTTTTGCCCACTCCCCACCTCCCCTCTACCCTCCCACCCTGCCCTGTCTTTTCCCCCTTCCTAGGTGGATCCATGTATGTCTTCTTTGTTACCTAGGTTCTTTGGGGTTGTAACCTGTAGGCTGATTGTCCTTTGCTTTATGTCTAATGTCCACTTATGAGTGAGTACATATTATAGTTGTCTTTCTGGGTCTGGGTTACCTCACATAGGATGGCTGTTTTTTAGTTCCATCCATTTCCCAGCAAATTTCAAGGTGTCGTCGTTGTTTTACATTGTTTTCTGTAAGTGATGCTGTGATGCAGGATGCACCATCACCCAAGAGAGAGTGAAAGTGACCCTCTTCTTCCTTATAAGGGATCACATCTGCCCACTAAAGCCAAGACTAAGACCCTGAAACTGTTGGCAGAAACAAATTCCCACTACAAAATATACTACATTTTCCTTATTCATTCTGTAGTTGAGGGGCATCTAAGTTAATTCCAGGTTCTGGCTATTATGCATAATGCTGCTACGAACATAGTTGAGCAAATGTCCATGTGGTATATGTGTATCTTTTTTTGTGTGCATATGCCCAAAAGTGGTATTGCTGAGCCTTGAGGTAAGTTGATTGCCAATTTTCTGAGAAACCACCATACTGATTTCCAAAGCTGCTGTACAAGTTTGTACTCCCACCAGCTTCCATCAGCAATGGAGGAGTGTTCCCCTTACTCCACATCCTCTCCAGCATAAGCTGTCATCAGAGTTTTTGATCTTGACCATTCTCACAAGTGTAAGATGGTATCTCAAAGTTGTTTTGATATGCATTTCTCTAATGATTAAGGATGTTGAACATTTCCTTAAGTGTCTTTTGGCCTTTTGAGATTACTCTGTTGATTGTTCTCTTTTTAGATCTGTATCCCATTTTTTTTTTAATTGAATGTAGTAACTGAGGCGAGGTCATTCCACATGGAGGAGCAGACGGTACAGACTAGAGAACAGCAGGAAGGTCAGTGCAGTGGAAACTGCTAAAGAGACCAACAGATAGATAAGTGTGAGATGAGAGTATAGACAGGGGAGCTGTGTTACACATAGGACTTTGCAGACTCTGCTAAGTATGTTGGTGCCTATCTTGGGAAAATTGGGGAATTATGATGAGATTCAAACAGAGGAGTGAATGACATGCTTTTTAAGAGCATCAGCAGCTGCTGGGTTTAGGGTATAATCCAAGGAAGCAGGTTGGAGGTTATAGCTATATAGTTCTTCAGGAGCCTGGGCCAGAATGTGGGCAGTGGGCAGTGGGAAGTGCATAGGCCTTGGCTGTGTTCTGAAGGAAAGTGGTAAGTGCAGCATTCCCTGTCATATCTTGCTGAGTCCAAAAAGTTGTACCTAAGTCACTTTCTATTCTAACTTGCATTACCAAAAACTACCTTTTTATGTCTCTCAGTCTTACACACTTTTCTTTAGTGAATTTCTTTTCTGAATCTGGTAACAAGGAAAACTATAACTATAAAGTCCATCAGAGAAGGAAATATATTATCTGAACAAGCAGGAGATGCAAGTAAGCAACTTCCAAAAAATGTGAGAAATGACAGAGACAGCTGGCTGCCTGGACAGTCACCCAAGGTTCCTCTGCAACACTGGGACATCCATTGGGACAGACATAGCACATCTGACAGATTTTTCTGTGAAGCAGGATATTCTGAAGGATTTTCCTAACTTGCCTTGGTAAAGTTTGGCAGTCCTTTCTTATGTGTCTTGGTTGTCCTTTTTGGACAGCATACTGTCAGCAGTCAAAGCAAGGGTACTTTCTTGCCCAGTGACTTTCCTTTGCCACAAAGAAAGTAAACTCCATGTGGAGTTTCTTCAATGCCCATCATCTCCTCTGAAGTAGATTAGTGATGCCAGGAGCGGAAATGTCTCATTGTAATAAAAAAGAACCTATGTTATTAAAACATCTTAAATACCATATTTTGTAGATTTCTGAAGTGCTTGAACATGGCTTATCTGAAATAGATCTCTGTGTGACCTTGAAAACGTAATATGACTACAGACCACTGTTCTTGAGTTCACAGATTTGACTACCTCTGGCTCCCAAGTGCTGGGATTAAAAGGTGTGTCACCACTGCCATAGTGAGTTAAGAATTTAAAGCATAATTTTGTTTTTAATATTTAACATATACCATACAAAAGTAGTTTTATCCCACTCCCCTCCCCTCAGGCAAGCTGCTTTGACCCTTCTGAATCCTCAAAACGAGGAGATAGTTATCTCTTTGGGATTATCTCATAGGTTAAGACTATTTTGATCTCTAAGTTTTTGTTTGTTGAGACAGGATCTCTATGTAGAACAGGCTAGCCTCAAATTCAGATCCTTCTCTCTCTACCTCCTGAGAATTAAAGGTTTGCAGAACTATGCCTGCCTATAACTACCGTTTTTAGGGTTGAGTCAGTCTTTGATCATTGGTGGTATTGTGTGCTTGACCCCCCCCCATGAGTACTAGGCATACCTTTAGTCACCTGCTTTCTGCTGAAAGTAGAAATTAATCATCTTTTATATCCAACTTTTCCACCCCTTAAAAACTTATACATTAAGAGGTGGTATTTGGACAATGAATATATAAAGTTAGTGGGAGGGTCCAGAGATAGCCCCATCCATGGATTAAAACCTTCCTATTCCCTTTTCTCAGGGTTGTACTTGTTTCTTCCACTGTCCCCACCAGTGCCTTAGCTCCAGCCCCCTCGTTGGGTTAATAAAATGGTTCCTGGGCGCGTAGCTCAGAGACCCTGGATCACAGATAAACATTAGGGCCCTCCTTCTTGGCAGGGTCTTTTTTTTTTTTTTTTTTTGGTTTTACAAGACAGGGTTTCTCTGTATTGTTTTGGGGGCTGTCGGTCCAGCCTGGCCTTGAACTCACAGAGATCCGCCTGCCTCTGCCTCCCGAGTGCTGGGATTAAAGGCATGCACCACCGCCACCCGGCCCTGGCAGGGTCTTACTTCTGGTGTCTGTGTCCTCATGGTGGAGGCTATGTAGTAGCTCTGCTCTAGATCAGTAGGTGTCTTGAACAGTTAGGTGCAGGGGGGCAGTGTGTAGTCTGACAGTAGGAGTAACTTGTGGTGGTGGTAGTTTCTGAAAGTCATGACTTTGCAGTATACTCAACCTTGGCTTGGATGACTTATGCAACTTTTGGTGATGACTCAGGTTAAACTCCAAGCCATGCTTATGTGCTTGGCATGCTTGCTTTTCCAGAATGTCGATAGTCCTCCATGACTGTCTCCTCTATAGTGGTCCTGTTATCCTTTTTTGTCTGGTGTCTCTGTTTGCTAGCTTCTTCTGTTTGTTCAGCCTGCTTGCAATGTTTTTCTGTAGTTGTTACTTGTTAGTATTGCCTAGAGTCATAGTTCATGCCTGGGAATAAGTAATGTGTTTTCAGGGGGGCGCAGGAATGGCCATTGGAGCTCTGGCAGTTGTTAAAAGTCTGAGTGGAGCCTGCAGTCAAGAGCATCTATCACATGTACAGGAAAACTGTCCGGGACATTGCTGGATACAAACATACTTATTGTTCTAAGTATTTGTTCAGTTCCTGTTTTCAGAAGTTAATGAATCAATAGAAAAACTTCGGCCATTTACACCTGAGAGAATTGCTTGAATGAGACTTAGTTTGTGGGATTGTGTGACTGAAGGCTTATCCACATACCAGGCAAGCTAGAACTGTGTACTACGTGCTCCAAGGGTGAGGTACCAGGAACTCCTTACCTGCTGCTGTCCTGATGCTTGCATGGAATGTGTTCAGATAGCTTGATTTTTTTTTTGTCATGACCTTGACACTCTCAATCTGAATGGAAAAAGTAAATAGTTTTGCATTAAAAAAAAGTTTGCTGGTGCAGATTGTAAAAGTAATTTCTGTCCCACTTGAGTATGAGATAGTATTCATCTTTTGAGGTTAGAAAAATCATACTTGGAGCTAGAAAAAGAAACCTTGTATCTCTTATTATTTAAGCATATTTTAAAATGAATTGACTACCTTAAATTCTGGTTTAATTTTTTTAAAGATAGTGTGTGTGTGTTTATAGGTGTATTGGGAGAGTATCAACAAAGGTAAATATTTTACTTCTGAGGTATTTGGTCTAATATGGGTTATCCCTACATTTGATTTTAACTTTGGACATGATATTTTTTCAAAATTTATTTCAAGTTGATTATTTTTAGTCTAAGACCAAAATTTGGCTGGTAAAGTGCCAAAGGCATCATTCTAAAGACAGGAATTGTTGAGGAACCATCTCTGGACAGTTGATCTGGGTAAGACTGGATTTTCAGCTTACTCAGTTTTAGAATCGACTGTCATTTTGTAAACAGAAGTCTGCCAGATGAAGTGAACAGAAGGGCGGGATTAGCATATTCATAAGGTGCCGGCTCCTGGATTTCTTTTCTCCTCCCCCCTCTCCCTTTCCCTGAATGAATCTAGAAACACAGACCCATAGGGTCGAATGACTAGCTGGTTTTCTTCTGTTCAGTGCCTTAATCTGGCTAGGACGGTCTGTGTTTCAGATTGCGGAAGCAGAAGATTCAGTAACTAAGAGGTCACCGTGGAGCTGCTGGAAACTCACAGAAGAAGCACCTCTCAAACTGTGCTTCAGGCTCTGAAAAGGAGCACAGGGGAAGCTTAGTCTTGCTTTGGATCCAAGCAAATGCTGTCGGAGCGATGAACTGGGACTTTGTGTGCGGACTACTGGCTTGATCTTGATAGGATTGGGTATATGTTGTTGGATCGGGCAGGCCAAGAGGCCCTGAGACCTACAGGTGCCAACTGTATGGAGAAAAGCGGCTGTAGTCCATTTCCAGTGTGTTGGGCTAAAGGTATAACAACTTAAAGATCTGTTTAGTGTGTGTGCTTATGTCAGTTCATGCTTTTGTGCTAAAAAAGCTAGATAATAGTGCTTTCAGAACTTAAGAGTTACAACTACATTTGAGAAAAAAAAAGATGTGGTATAGGTTTACAGCTGGTGCATAAAACCAGTTAAGTGGCTTTGCAAGTAGAAAATGAGACATTTGTGTGGAAATGCTCTTAAACAGTCTAAATCATTTTTCTGTCCTTGTCCTGTGTATAAGTCATATGTTTTTGCCTTTTCATTTTACTCATCATATCCTGTGCCATAGAGGCTTTTAAAGAGCAAAATGATTAGTATTGACTGTAGAACCAGAGGAGAAAAGAGTAATGTGGGCTTAGTTGTTTTAGAATGGGTTTCCTTTATTGTCTATATGCATTGTGTATTTAATTTGAAGCTCTGTTATTTTGAGATTATTAACACAGGTCAAAAATACCGAGTGAAGAATTTTTCTACTTTAGTGTGAGAATTTGTATTCATGTTGAAATATAAACATGAAGTAGGACATTTTCATTCTAGCATTCAAGGCGGCATTTAGAAGGTATAGTTAAGGTAAAGAAGCTGTAAAGTTAGTGTGTAGCTCAAGACAGACAAAGTCAACTAGAAGTTGTTTTGCTTAGCATAGTGGTGATTATGTAAGCTATTACCATAGTTAATGAAGGACTTAAAAATATTGTCACTATGTGAAATGTATTTAGGTACTATGCTAATCTACTTAGGAACCTGTAATTGGGCAAGAACTGCACTTTGATGAATGAACTATAGGCTTATTCAGTGTAGTTTTTAGGCTAAAGATATTAATACTCTAGACTAGGATGTGTTAGCATCATACTTACTGTTTTCAAGATTATTTATTACCTTACTCATTCCCCTATTTTAGGGGTTTGCAACAAAGCTTGCAATATTTGAGCTGTTTTAGTATGATAGTATCTAAATAAAGTACCTGTCACTTTTATTACATAGGTACTCAGAATAAAGATTTTGTCCAGTTAAATTGACACTCTAAAATTTTAAAGGACATTGAATTCTTACTATTGTAGTTTGTGGCGTTATAATGTAAATGAATATAATTGAGGCAGAGTTCAGTCTTCCTGATGTACTTGTAGGTTGGGTACAGAATGCCACCTCCATAATATAATGCTGCTAAGCATCAGTAGTAAAAGTTCTCCAGATATCTGACAGACCTAGACCAACAGGGTGTTGAATAGTTAGCAACTGGATTTCCTACTTAAATTGGCCTTAGAAATGAGAACTTTTGGTAGAAAAGAGATAGTGTTTTGGTTCAACACAAAGAAATTGATCAAAGCAACTTGTTTTTCAGTGTTTGCATACTATTAGAGAAAATACTAATAGCTGATTTTTAATGAAAATGTGCCTTTTCGTAGATGACAGACCGGGTGAAAGGAGTAGAGCTTTTAAGGCAGAGAATGGGAAATGGGACACACCAGGTAACATAGTGGGCTCCATCTCTACTTACAGAACCAGCTGCTTTTCCTTCTCAGATAGTTTTGCTTTGGTGGTTCAAGTGGAGGAGCTCTAGCTGAGTGTAATGCTTTTGCAGTGATTGCCCAGTATAGCTGTCTTTAAATTTCCTCTCATTTCTTGTTTTCCTTTCTTGCGTTATGACAGGAAGGCGGGGGACCTGTCCCCATGCTTGTAAATACTGTTCAATGATAAGAACAAAGATGCTAGTGTATAGGTTATTTCAGGTATAACCATTATAGTATGTAGATAAAGATAAAAGCTCAAATACAAAGAATATGTAAGTCTTGGCCTGCAAATGGATATTCTAAACCACACATTTAATTCAACTAGTCACATTAACCTCAAAACAGATAGCAGTGTCCCAGTTTTAAAAAGACGTAAGATTCTTAACAGGACAGGCTAAAAATAGTAGAACAGACCTATATTTGTATACTTTGAAGTGGATCTTCAAGGTACCATTAATACTCATGGGCCTGTTTTTAATAGTTTAGTGCATTGTTGCATTTGGTGTGACGAACCACCCAAGAAGATTAAATTTAAAAATATTTAAGAAAGATATGTACCTACATTGTGATTTCCTAGTAATAAGTGTGAATTAAGAATAATAAGTGTAAATGTTCTTAGAATATTAGGTTTCAAAGTGTTAGGTGGGGAAACCCTCCCTACTTGTGGGGTTTTCTAATTATCAGTTGTACATTGTTCACCATTTTGAAAAAAAGGCTGGCAATTACCATAGTGACATTAGAAGTTTGGTTGTTAGGAAAAAGTATGTTTTCTGGTTTCTTTAATTTTTTTTTTCAGTAATAGAGATTTTATGTACTTCTGACTTTTGCAGTTGAAGTCATACTTACTCTTCATAGAAATCATAGATAGAACTCTTAGCTGTCTCAAATCTTTCCTGTCTTAGTATACATTGGGCTTAGTATACATTGCACTTATTCATGCTACAGATCCAGGATGCTTCTTTGACTTTCCTTTCCTTGCACAGCGAATTATGATTTTATTCTGATTATTCTGTATTCAGTGTGTATCTTGAGTTAATCAGTTCATCTCTCTGCTATGTCTGGTCTCACTGTGTCCATACATGTTGGTTATTCTTCATATACCTGTTGAAGTAATTTAGTGAAAACAGAAATCTGATATTTTCCTCATATTTTTCAGTGGCTTATTAGATTTGGATAAAATCTACATTCTTACTGTGCCACACAGGCCTCACTTTATCTTGTTTCTCTTGTATTCTCCATCTTCGAGCTGTCTTTCTTATCAGCAGTGTAGTCACTTTGGTTTTGTATATTGGGAGATGGGGTTCTGAATATGCCCACCAGAACCTGCACTGCTGCTCTGACACAGTATGTATATTGTTTTACAGTTAACTTGTCTGATTTCCGTCTTCCTTACTAAACTTACTATCCTCTGGGATAATGTCAGATTTTTTTCTGCCTGATAAATACTTGGCAAAAATGGATGTTACTTTAATATTTGTTGATGTATTCTGTGTAGGATAAATTTTATTTTAAAAACTCTTTTAGAGATAACATTCTTGTGTTTATGTTGTATTTTGATAAACCTAGTTTTAATACTCATTGAATTGACCATTCTACTTTTACTGTATTTGTGTATGATTTTCTTCTGAATAAAGATATATGTGTAGAATTTAGCTTAGCAGTCAGCCTGTAGAGTTGGTAGCTGATGTATGTATGTATGTATGTATGTATGTATGTATGTATGTATGTATGCATGCATGTATGTATGTATGTATGTGGCATGGCTTTGGTCTTCAGATACTGTCAATTCTTTCATACTTATTTGAATATTTGACTAAGTATTTCTTATCATTCTTATCTGCTTTACTTTAGTTGGTTAGTTTTTTTGTTTTTGTTTTTCAAGACAGGGTTTCTTTGTGTAACAGCCCAAGCTGTCCTGGAATTCACTTTGTAGACCAAGGTGGCCTTGAACTCACAGGTCTGTGTCTCCCAAGTGGTGAGATTAAAGGCATGTGCCACCACCACCTTGTTTTATGTCTGTCAATGTTTTGTCTGTCTATACGTATATCTGTTCTGCAGCACATGTGTGCCTGATACCCAAGGAAGCCAGGAGGAATGTCTTAGATTTCCTGGAACTAGTTACAGACAGTTGTGAGGGTCCATGTGGGTACTGGGAATTGAACCGTTGTCCTCTGGATAAACAGGAAGTTCAAGAGTAGGCAGTTCTCTTAAGCACTAAGCAATCCATCTCGGAAGCCCAAAGGTTAGTTAAAATTGATTCCTCAGATTCTAAATGTCATGTGTGTGTCGAGCTTGCATGTGCACACGAGCACATGTTTATGTCCCCATTCATTTCTCATAAAGGTCTCTGAGATAAGAGTTCATCAGTATCCCAGTTTTTGTGGATGAGATGTTGAAGCACTAAGGCTAAAAAACTTGGCAGTGGTTGCTTAGGTCACAGAAAGCAGAGCCAGGTTCTTAACAGTGGGGATCTGACTCAAGTGTGGCTGTTTTTAATCACCATGCTATGTATGCCTAAATGGAAAGATGATAAGATCATAATGGATTATTTGCCTTCTCTAATGTTTGCATCTTAAGAATCATGGTTTCTACTCTCAAGTACTTTTTCTTGAGTTCATTAATTCATTTTACAAGTATATAGTGAACATTCAGCATTTGCTGAATGTGCTTGTCAGTACTTAGCTAATGCTAAGGAGTAAAGGCATAGATTTCTACTCTTTGAATTGATAGAAGGTATGAAATGTTACATCCGGGTTGTGGTTTGTGGCAGTGTCAAGTAGCATGTCAGGTAGGCCCACCTAAGAGGATCATTGTAGAAGGTGGAGAAAGAAACTCCCAACAGATTGCATGACAGAGTCTTGATGGCATGGCACCGTGCCTGGAAGAGAGTATCAGGACTCTGACTTTTTCTTGACTTCCTCACTTGTCTGGCATGAGATGAAATAATCTAAGTTACAGATCAATTTTAATAAAATTTTCCTTAAAAGTAGCTGAATGAGAAGAACAGTCTTCTAGGAAGCATGGCTCTGTCCTCTCTGATGGCGTAAGTAGACAGACATTGCCTTTGATGTCTTAACAGCAAGACCGTATCGTGCCCTCCCTCCTCTTCTCTGTTGTGAACATGGCAGCCCTCGTAGTGGGCATTAGCATGACTTCATCCCATTCTTTCCCTTGGCTTATTGTCAGTGTGTGTTTTCACTGTGGGGGACTGGTGGAAGGAAGTTTCTTTGTTGTGATTTCAGGAAAAAAGTGCTCAGTGTTAAATGTCTTAACTCTAGTTTTGTCTGTATTCTAAATCACTATTATTAATGGAAGTTTCCTTTTAGTTCCTTGTTTCATAAGGCTTTTTTGTTCATAATGAGAAAGATGTTAAATTTTGTCAAACATTTTCTGCCTCTATTGATTACATGAATTTTTTGATTACATGAATTTTTAAAAGAACAATGATCTATTATGGTGTTTGAAGAAATATGTTTTTGAT